GTGCAATTTGTGTAGCTCTTTGGATGGCATGAGAATGTAATTTATGTTGAACGCGTCAATCTTTGTGTAATGTATATACTTCTTCAACTTGTGTGTGTATATATACCAAAGAAAATGATTGATGTACTAGGTGATTTAATTTAATGCAAGCCATATCAGTAAATGGACAACATTCTTGTAAAGTCTATTCTAACATGCCATAATTTATGTTGTGGGAATGTGTTCTTGTTTGGTTGATAGATTAGTTCTGTGCTGTGCTCGGGCACCTAGATTTACTGTAAACTGTATTAGGTGATGTGTTTGTTGGAAGGCAAAAAAGAAAATGTGGGAGCATTTTCTCACATTTGGAAGCAAATATGGATGTTTCGAAAATGTAATCAAATTCAGATTTGAAATTTTAAAAATGGGTGTTTTTTGTGGTAAGTTGGCCACAACATTTTGGTATAAACTAATGATGAATATATTGTTACTTCATCTTCCCAGGAGGTGGAAATAAACAAACATGTTCTTGAGGGCTCTATACTAACAAGGGGGTGTTTTCTTATTCTACCTCTTGTGATGCAACTTTTTTTTATTTGTACTCATGTTTTCTCAAAAAATATATCAAAGTTCATAATTTTTATGATCTTTCCAATGGCACTGCAATATTCCATATATAAAGTTTAATTTATTTTTTGAAGTTCAACCAGATTGACCAGTATAAAGTTTTCAGACCCAAACTTCTTTTAAATAGATTCAGGTGATAAAATTAAGATCTCATTGTTAAAATACTTTTTTACATGTTTCAATTATTTTAAAAATGAGATTTTAATTTTAGCAATTGAATCTATTTATGAAAAAATTTCAAACCGAAAACCTCCTATGATTGAAATTTCAAATTTAAAAAGAAAAATTGTATATATGCACTATTAGTGTCATATAAAATGCTACCTCCATTCTTAAATAAGTGCAATATATTGAATTTTATACTATTCACATGTTCTACTTTGACTACGTTTAATTAAAAAATGTATTAATATATTTTCTTGAAAAAATATTGTTAAATTTGTCTCATTGTAAATTTTCAAAATCTATTTTTTAATTTTCTTTTACTAATAAATAATTATATATATTGATGATCAAAGTTGTGCCTCGAAAAGTGTGAAATATTGACCGTTGCACTTATTTAAGAACGGAGGAAGTATATTAAAAGTTATGAATTTTGATACAGAGTATATTTTATATAAGAATTGGAACACAAATAAAAAAATTATAACACTTTAAATAAAATTGGGATTTTAATTTTTGCTTCACCCTCACCCATCTCTTCTCCCACCCTTGGTCCGAATACACCATTCCAAATAGTTTGGTCAGAAAACAATGTTCTGAATCTTGTTATTTCATCATAATTGGAATAAAAATTACAACTGGAACATATCTATGATCTATCCTTGCCTGACCTCTTATTGTCTCTTGCATCACCATTCATAATAATTGGAACATATTTATCCTGTTTTCTATGGTCAAGGTTTGCATCTCAATTGTTGTGTTTCCCTGGAAGCGTATACCATACAGCCGGCTGTACGGCTGGCACCGTACAGCCGGTGGCAGTTTTGTAATTTCGATGAAGTTCTTCGGTTCTATTAAATGAGCATTGATGTAATTTGGATGAGCATTGAGTCTGGTTTTCTGAGTATTAGGAGCCTAACAATGAGCACCAGTAATATCTGCTTCATATCTTCTAATTCAGTTTCTTTTTATTATATTTCGTTAATAAAAAATTCTTAAATTATGTTTATAATCAATTTCAATTAATTTCAATATTTGAATCTAATATAGTATTTTTATGTTTGAAATGTGAAACATTTTAAAATGAGCATAAAGTAGTACCTAGTGAGCATATATAACTTACAAAATGAGTATCAAAAAATTCAAAAGTTCATATGTGTATGCTCATTCATTTTGGGCGTTACATTCATTTGATTTTAACATAAAAACTCATTTTCAATGTGTTCAATATTAATTTGTGTGAGTTCATTTCTTTTAGGCGTATACTCATTTGAGTTTAATATAAAACTCATTTGAGATTGAATGAGCATACATAACCCACAAAATGAGTATAAAAAATTCAAAAGTTTATTTATGTGTGCTCATTGATTTTAAGCTTTATACTCATTTGTGTGTGCTCATTGATTTTAAGCCTTATACTCATTTGAGTTTAACATAAAACTCAGTTGTAATGTGTTTGACCCTTTTTCATTGAAAATCAGTATTACACACATAGGTTAATTTCTCACTTCAGCAACACTGTCTTCTTACAACACCTGAGTCAACACCCCCAATTACTCAATTCGCAGATGCTTCATACCAGGCACAACCCAATATAAAGTCGTTGTTCACAACTCCAAGCACTACAGATCGAAATTCAAACAAACTGAAATTAAGAAAAGGTTTTTGGGCAGGGCTTTGCTATCTGGATCGAACGATGAAGCGGAGCCGGATCTTCTTCTTCTGGTGCGAGGCTTCAGGTGTGAAACCGGATCTTCTTCTGGTGCGAGGCGAAGAAGCGTAAAAGCCAAAAAAAGGGCCGGCTGTACCGTGCGCACGGTACAGCCGGCTGTACCATGTATTTTACCGTGTTTCCCTCCATCTACCTGCTGCTCTCTCGGCCTCTCGCTGAAAAAACTAATAAAACTCAGATGCCGACGACCAAGTGTGGCTCCAAAACACTAATGCACGAAGGCACTCTCTTTTGCTTTCTTACAATATTAATAACAATCTGTAAACAAAATATTTACAAAAAGAGAATAAAGACAATACGTATCAATAAAATAATTAAAAAACATTAGCAACATAAAATACTCAGAATTAATTTAGAGATCTAATAAAATGGAGTTAGAAAAAGGAAATGTTCATATTTAAAACTAAAAAATGTAGGAGATTGCGTGGTATTATGTTTCGTCATATTTCATCTATTTTCTTTTGATTAATAAAACGGTTGAAAATGTAATTTTTTTATTGAGATTTGAGTAAAATAAATTGAAATGGTGTGGATCTAGAAAAACCGGCCCAAAACTACCCACCCTGACTGAGACATTTGGGGTGGGTCTGTCCCGCCTTGTTTTCTAATTAGTTTGGGGTAAATTTATATGTAAATGGGGAAATCGCATATATGGTCCCTCAGTTACGCACAAAATTAAAATTTCAAACCTGTATTTCTGAGATTGTAAACGTCGCCCCTCAATTGTCCAAAATGCTGTAAATATGGTCCTTTTGAGAGGTGAAATATACAATGTGGGCGAGAGTACATTTCACTACTTAAAGGACCACATTTACAATAATTTGGACAATTGAGGGGTGACATTTACAATCTCAAAAATACAGGTCCAGATTTTAATTTCATGGATGACTGAGTGACCATATATGTGATTTTCCGTATGTAAATTTATAGTATAATGGCTTCTCGCAAATTGAGATACATAGCTATTAGCTATCTGCCTGCATGGGGTGATCATGGGTAAACTTAGGGCATCCACATCCATAGATTATTTTTGGGATAATTTTGATGATGTGGAGGATTCTTTTTGGGATCATGGATGAGGAGTTGAGATTATTTTATGAGATTATTTGATAAAATAATCTGGTATCAAATTCTAAAGCTGGATTATTTTGAGATTATTTCCAACTTCTAGGCATATACTCATAATCATGGTGATGACTAGCTTTGTAATTCGTGAATGCTCATGCTCCTATTCAAGGTAAATTAAGATCATGAATGAGGAGAAATTTATTGGTTTGGAGATTATTTGAGATTATCTTATGTGGAGGTGACATGTCAATAATAAACCATGAAAAATCGTAAAGTTGAAGATCATCAATGTGGATGCTCTTATAATGATTCATGCGGGTCACGAGGCAGGCGGGTCCAAGTTTTAAATTGCTGTTAAGGTTGCTATTGCGGTAGCGGATGCGGTCATTCCGGTTGCAGTCGTTGTGATGTTATATTGCGGCTGTTGTAGTGTGAAATGATATTTAGTTTTTACAAAATTGAAATACAATTTTTTTTTACAATATGAGTGTAACTTCTATTTTAAATTTATATACAAGTAAATAAATTCAAATTATATACGAAGTACTATATTTCACACTAAAGTAACTAAACAAAATTAGCTAAGAACATGAAGTATAAAATATTTAGAGAAATAAAAAGAAATATATAAAAATAGTACACTCGGGCTATGTTGCGGTCTGATGCGGCCAGATGCGGCTAGGTTGCAGTTTTATTGCGATTGTGTTGTATATGGTGTGATTTCATATCTCAATGCAATTATTGCGGCTCGATGTGGATGTGATGCGTCCAGCAACAACAATATTGCGACTGCAATTACGGTTGCGAACCACAATTTAAAACCATGGGCTGATTCATTTAATACTGTCACGAATGGGTCCTCTTCCTTTCGTATCGGTTCGCCTGACTCATTCCCATGCTTAGTGTATCGCATATTTCATTACTCCCTCCATCCCAAACAGATGTTCTGCTTTCCCAAAATGGATGTCCCAAAATAAGTGTCCTACTTCTTTAACTTTCTTATTTGTTAAACAAATCTATACCAAACAGTGTCGCAAAACAATGTCAAATTATGTAGCTACCGTGTGAAGTTAAACAAATGGAAGTATTTCTTTAGGAGTTGGAATCTAGTGTGGATACTTGTTTTCGGAGAAAAAATGATTTCAATTATTGTGGGTGAAACCCCACCTATGGGTCTAGCAATTGGGGGTTGGAATCTTGCGCCTAAAATCGAACGTAGACACCAATCATTGTTGACTACCGTAATAAATCAAAAATTCTATAGGTACCCCAAATTGTACCCCAATTTGTACCCACCCCCTGAATTGCCTGTGTACACAGGCAATTCGTTTGAAAGAGGGCAGAACTTTCTACCCAAATGTCTGTGTACACAGACGGTGTACACTTTGGGGTACAAATTGGGGTACCCCAAGCAGCTCTCGTAATAAATATTCTTCTTCGGTTGCTATGTGCGAGTAGGCCTAACTTATTGCTCCTAGCATAGAACCATATCCATGGCCGGAGCTTCGATCTTCGTCATCCTGGTTTTAGCTGTCATCGCCTCCGTCTCTGGGTTGTCGAGTACCTTCTCTGATGATAATCCAATCAGGCAAGTCGTATTGGACGGATTGCACGAGCTGGAAAGCCCGATTGTCTCAATCATCGGCTCCACGCGTCACGCTCTCTCCTTTGCTCGCTTTGCTCACAGGTTTTGATTTCAGCACTTCTCTCTATGTATGTATATATAGTAAAATTCAAGTATGAAGGTTAAGTTCACTGACCGTTTTTACAATTTTACATCCTCAAAATTTTGATCCAACTAGAAACGAATTAATTGTTACCGTTAATTTGATAGATTTTTCGTGAATCACTTTGTGCAGGTATGGGAAGAGATATGAGAGTGCTGAGGAGACCATTCAGCGTTTTGGTGTCTTTAAGGAGAGTTTGAGGACAATTAGATCCCATAACAAAAAAGGACTTCCATACAAGCTTGGAGTTAATGGTATTTGTCCTTTTCGGTAAAAAAAAAATATATTCAGCATGTGCAAATAGAGAGGAATCCAGTTTATAGGATGTGTTTACTTGGGCTTATGTTTTTAATTTTTAGTATTTTACTGCAATTTTCTGGTCTGATCTGGTTGAATTCGTCTGGTCTGATCTGGTTCAATTGTCTGATCTTCCTGTATTTTATAACTGTTTGAGTTTAGTCTGATCTGGTCTGATTTAGGACTGAAAAACAGTCCAAGTAAAAACATTTTTATTCCAATTCCAGACCAGATTAGATCAGGCTAGACCAAACTTAAACAAATTAGATCAGACTTCGATAGTTATAAAATACGATAGTATATAAGATCAGACCAATTAAAAACATTCATAGTTGCATGTATTCCCATGTAATTTCCCTCTATCCAACTATCTTTATAAACTAGCCCAAATTCCAATTTATAAGTTCAAATTTTACTGGGAAATAATTGAACACCCATTCAGCCCTCATAAGCAAACACTTACTGGGATCATGTCATTATTCATTTATTTTTTCATCCATTTGTCATAAACATTATTATTTTTTATAGGGCCCACACTTTGGTGCCATTAAATTTGGGAGATAAAATTTTGGTGAGTCCATTCGTTTTTGTGGCTCTATTAGAAGAAAGTCTCTTTTAAATGGGGTGGACAAGGGAACATGATAAAAAGGAAAAATGAAAGAATGAAAACTAGCTAGAAAAATAAAATAAAAATGAATGATAAGGTGCCGCTCTTTTGAGAAGATTGGAGAAAAGACAATATTCCCCAAAAAAGAAAAACAAGGTGGTGGGACTCTTATTAGAAGACTGGGAATGGTGAGACGGTTGATATGAACTTTTTCATGGAAAATGGGACGTGCCATATTGGGAAGGAGAGAGTAGAAATTGTCACTAGCTGGCTAACTGCCTTGTCAACCGAAGTTTAAAGTAATATGTAATACTATGTAGCATATTAGCTGTTTAATCGCAAGCCTAGTAAGAAATAAATAAGATTCTTACATTTCAAACTAATTCATTTGAATCCTTTGGTTTTGCATTTAATAGAGTTTGCTGATATGACATGGGATGAGTTCCGTAAACATAGACTAGGAGCTTCTCAAAACTGCTCTGCTACCTTAAAAGGCAATCTTAAGATCTCAAGCGCCATCGTCCCAGAGACGGTATTCTCAATCAAATTCTTATTATTATTGTTACTGTGATTGTTACTATTGTGTTTGTTATTATTATGAAATCCATTATTACTTTTCATGCTCCAATTCAAAATATGAAGCACAAGACAAAATAATAACAAAAAGGGGAAATGGAAACTAATAATCCAACCTTTTAGCGGTCTTCTTTTAATATTCCCACCTTTTCGTTATTCATGAATAATTCAACCTTTGCACCTCATCTTCATTCACTGATCCCTGACCGATTGATGACCTGTTATTCCAAGTTATTTTCTTATCTTTGCAAAATATTATCTTTGTGAAAGGTGGAATTTATGGTATAATAGTTTGCAAAGATAAGAAAATAACTCGGAATAGCAGGTCATCAACCGGTCGGGGACCAATGAATGAATATGAGGTGCAAAGGTTGGATTATTCACGAATAACGCAAAGGTCGGACTATTAAAAGAAGACCGCTAAAAGGTTGGATTATTAGTTTTCATTTTCCCTAACAAAAATAAGTGAAAAGAAATCAGGGCAATGAAGAGGCAAACATAATTGGTCTCGACTAACAAATCGGCTTCTTTCTTCATGAGCACCACAAGCCGTCATAGATGAAAAGTTGGCATGGCTCTTGTAGCCAATAGAATTCTAATATATTCTCCTTTCCAGAAGAAACCTACTGTCTACTGGAGGTTTGCTTCTCTATTTAAACTAAAGTTCATGCAAGCGTTTAGTTGGTAGTTGCTGGTAAGCTTCTCCCATCATAAAGGAAAAAGAACTCAGTGTAGGAAGGATTTAAGGAATTGATGCCTAATGTACATTTTATAGAACTTTTTGCTATTCTTTGTTGACATGGTTTATTTATTTGCTTTCTATTCTTAAGAAAGACTGGAGGGAAGCTGGCATAGTTAGCCCGGTGAAGAATCAAGGCGATTGTGGATCTTGTTGGACTTTTAGGTGAGAATTGTGTTTGGAAGATAATGTATGACTTTAGCGTAAAACTCCAAAAGTTTTTGGACTCCAAATTAATTGCATTGTTGGGGTTGAGAACTCATGGCCTTAAAATTTGACGTGCTGTAACAGCACCACTGGAGCTCTAGAAGCAGCTTATGCTCAAGCATTCGGGAAGAATATTTCCCTGTCAGAGCAGCAGCTTGTTGATTGTGCTGGAGCTTTTAACAATTTTGGTTGCAATGGTGGTTTGCCATCACAAGCCTTTGAGTATATCAAATTCAATGGCGGTCTTGACACCGAGGAAGCATATCCGTACACTGGAGAAGATGCCGTGTGCAAGTTCTCTTCAAACAATGTTGCTGTGAAAGTCATTGACTCAGTTAATATCACCTTGGTAAGATGATATCCTTCTGTTTTATTTCTTTTCAATTCAATAATTTGTCCTGCTCGCTTGTCTTGGCTACTTCTTTTCTCTCATGCTAAACCCAATTGTTTGTATTTTCATTCACTCTGTAATCTGTTGCAGGGTGCTGAAGATGAACTAAAATATGCAGTTGGGCTAGTAAGGCCAGTTAGCATTGCGTATGAGGTTGTTTCTGGTTTCAAATTATATGAGAGCGGAGTTTACACAAGCACCGTTTGTGGGAAGAATCCCATGGTAAGTTTTTTTCAAAACTCAGACATACCCAAGGGTTTGCCAGAAGGAATACGAGATGATTTTGGCCTATTCATACCATTTGATTAAACATTTCCGCCTATGCGGCTATGCCATATTGGCCTATTCATTAACCAGCAAAACCAATCTAAAATATCGAGGATATTCTACTCAAAAGTAAAGTTCAGGATTAGATGTATGCAGACCTTATCTCTATCCTTAGAATAGAGCAGCTACTTCTGGGAATGCTATCGGTAAATAGCACTGTGAACAATGTCAATTGCAAATGATATCTACAAAATAAGTATTGAGAAAAGTGAAGAAGTAACTTGGGAAGTTTTCTCCATATTCACCTCAAAAAGTCATTTGCCTCATGTCATGAGCATGAAACGTAATTCGATCTTAGTAAATAAGTGCTTGCAAGTTTTTTTATGCTGTTTCTTCTAACAAATAATAATTATGCGCCAAGGAAATTATCGCTGCACATAAGGCGGTTGCATTTCTAAACATGAGTTTCGTTATAGTACTGTTGTTATTATTATTATTGTTATTATTTCATAAAGAATTGGCTAGGATATTCAGTTTACATAATGTAATAGAACTATTTATTTATTTTACTCTGCTGTTTTTGGTAGGATGTGAACCATGCAGTTCTGGCAGTGGGATATGGAGTGGAAAATGGAATCCCATATTGGCTCATTAAGAACTCGTGGGGAGAAAAATGGGGTGACCATGGGTACTTCAAAATGGAAATGGGAAAGAATATGTGTGGTAATTAAGAATCGGAGGCTGATGCGCCATACATTTATTCTATCTGTTAAAATTTGCATTTGTTGCTCTTTCAAATTGGATGGAGTATTTGTTGTACCTTTTATCTCATTAATTGTTCTGGTTGCAGGTATCGCAACTTGTGCTTCGTACCCAGTCATTGCTTGAGTGAGTGTTACTCCTACGAATGCCGTTGCTCTTTGGAAGGCATGAGTGCAATCTGTGTGGAGCACATCAATGTCCTTTATGTGCAAATTGTATTCTTCTTCAACTTGTTTTGTGTGTTGGACACCTAAAACAAACATTATTATATCATACTGCGTTTTGTTGATCTTTTTTCTTTGCAAGTGTAATTAGAGTTTGCATCTCTCTTTGTCATCCACATCACATTTGAGCCTGCACTCCATTTTGAAACGAATAGTATTTGAGTCTTCAAGTTAGAAAAATGTGTAAATGAGGGGTTCTAACTCCAGTCTGAAAGAAGAAATTTGAGTGCAAATATTGATGTTGGTTTCTCAGAGAACTTTGCTTTTGAGTTTTTGTATCTTTTGGGTGGAATGGGCATTACTGCATTAGATCACTCAAAAGGCTCCTTTATACACATATTGCGTTTCTCTGCCTGGTGGTTATCCTCCTCTAACAAGTCCTTAGCAGGTGTTTTTAAGATAGTACTGCCAGGAATTAGAACTTGGTTTTTATGGAAAATATAGTGCTTAGTATACAAGAAGTTATGTACTGATTGTGCTCAAGCCTAACTCCAAGCCTGCTAGCATGCATGCAGTTCTTAATCAAGTGTGTCTTCTTCCCAAGAAGTTTAAGAGCCAAAGTTATTTTCTCAGGACTCTTTCATGCTTAAACGCAAACCTGCTCACTGAAGGTCAATATCTCTGTCACCTCATGTCTAACATACTGTGTTGGGGAAGGATTAATTCACAATTACTTTTCAAGGCAGGCTTCTCTACTTCCATAAAGGCTGCATTATCTCTAGTCTCTACAAGCTGGAGACTGCTGTAAACTGGTGAAAAACTAATGGCTTTAGCAACATGGAATTTGAGGTTCTCCAAAGCTCTGTATAATAATTACCTTACTGCCTTTACCAGATCAGCTTCACACTGGCATCTTGCATAAGATATAGAGGCTTTCAGAAAACTTGGGCTGACCCATTAGGTCTAATTGATTTATAAAAAAAATGTACTTCGTATAATCTAGTAGCTAGGTTGACATTCATAAACTAGTGTTTATGCCCATGGAATATTCGAGGTGTAACTCTGATTTGAAAGGGAGTCCCTACTTAGTTACTTGTTGGCTTGTTGCAATGTAATTCTGTATTGAAATACCTGAGAGAACTCCCTGACACCAGCCGTTTAGTTTACCAAGGATTACCTGCTATAGCAAGTGACTAAGTTGCCATTTCCAAAACACTATGAAGCCGGATAACTTCCTTTGTTCATGTTTCCCCTTTGCGGAAACTCACAAGTATATGGGAAATTCAGAAACTTCAATTCCTGTATCTAGACCATATCCGTAAATAAGAAGCAACACGAAACTTGTTCCCCAAACTAATTAGTGTTTCGGAAAACATTGAGTTTCCAATTTCTTTCTTTTTTATAAGACTTCGTGATTGAAAATGGATTCATTTTGTAGAAATTAGTGAATTTTTATCATATATCTTCCTAGTAGTATTGAGGTATTTCATAGTGGAATGCATTGCTAAATGGATTTGCATAGGGCTTAATCCCGAACTATTGAATAGTCCACTAAGCTTTAATTGTACGTGCTAAGATTCAATCAGGATTTTGTCTCAAAAATTATATGGTGCTACTATATGTCAAATATGTCTATACGTGCTAACTACTCTTTTAATTTATGTCAAATCATGTAAAAAGTAAGTGGTTTTGATACTCTACTTTATATTGAAAAGTTACTTTATATAGAAATGTAAGTTTATTTTGATACATTCAAATAAGGAAAGTAAGAAGTTGCTTTGGGAACGAAGGCAGTATTGTTTTATATCAATAATTATGTATTTAATGTAAAATTAATTAATAAGCAATAAAAGGAACTTCTAGATTGGGCATAATTGGAGCTAACAGGGTCCTCCTGTCCATCCCATTTGCTTATAAAAGCACGGCTCCACGCATGTGGCCACGGATTGGCCTTGTTCACTATTTGAATTTTGAAGAGATGGCATATTGGAATAGGGTAATATATATATATATATATATATATATATATATATATATATATATATATATATATATATAGAGAAGTGATCAGGTCCAGCCGGAGGGACGGGAAGCGCCGTCCGAACTCCGCCGTTTGGGGCGGTTCCCGGTGGAATTTTTTGATGAAATTTTTTGAGCATGTTCTTCATCAAGTCTAGTTTGTCCATACCAAATTTCAGCTCAAAATTCGATCGGGAAGGTTGTCAAATGATTTTTGCAAGTTAACTGGTCCGGAATATGTATTTTCCGGACCAGTTAACTTGCAAAAATCATTTGACGACCTTCCCGGTCGAATTTTGAGCTGAAATTTGGTATGGACAAACTAGACTTGATGAGGAACATGCTCAAAAAATTTCATCAAAAAATTCCACCGGGAACCGCCCCAAACGGCGGAGTTCGGACGGCGGCTCCCCGTCCCTCCGGCTGGACCTGATCAGCTCTCTCTCTCTCTCTCTATATATATATATATATATATATAAAAGTGGAATCGTATGGGAAAAACCTGTTCCCGCCTGATTCTATAAGAGTAATGGGTGATACACAATCTGATTATGCACGTGTTAAAAGGTGTGAAGTGACATTTGGTTTGCTAAGATTTGCAAGGTTAATGTTGGGGGCATTATTAGGCGGTATGTGTAGTTCATCTTTGTTACGGTGTATTATAAATTAGTTATTGTATTATGTTTTCTCCAAGTTTGTGTTTACAAACACAGCATACGTTATTTCTAAAGTTCCCTAAATCCCGTGTGTTGTAAATATTAGGTGTACAACTTGGCTTAATGCTACAATTTCCTTAAAATTTTTTTTATAAGCACACCCCATAAAATAAGGTAAATGCATTGTTTGCAGTACATGTGTTCTTATTATTAAAAAAACTCTGTGTCCTTTTGTTGGTTTGAATTTACACAAAGTTGTTATCTTTACGTTTTGAACAAAAGTATTCTTTATGGATGTTAAGAAAATACTTGAATATGTGTTTAACTATCGTTGGGGAGGGGCGATGGTGGTGGGATGAGGCGGTTTTAGGGTCTAAGCTGATTTGTGTACGAGGGATGGGGGCTGGGAAGGGGACTGTTGTGGTGGCGGCCCTGCCAAAGGGCGTCGGCAGCAGTATGCGGCGGCAGGCGGCGGTGTTACCTGGCGGTGGTGGCTAGCACCAGTCAAATTCGAACGGGGTAATTGTAATCGGGTTTACCGTTTAACAACAATGTTGGATTGGGTAATGATATTTACTCAGATAATTGTAACTGGTCTGTTCAGGTAACTGTAACTGATATATCAAGTAATTGTAACTAGTTAGGTCGAGTAACTGTAACTGACGGATCGGGAAACTGTTATTAGTCGGATAATTGTATTTGGCGGCTGGTAACTGTAACTGGTTGGATCAGGTAACTATAACTGACGGATTAGGTGATTGGAACTGGTTAGATCGGATAACTCTGTAAATGTAATTGATGGATCGAGTAACTGTAATTGGTCGGATAAATGTAATTGGCAGTAAGTAATTGTAACTGATCGGGCGGGTAACTGTAAATAATGGGATGTGTAACTGTAATTGATCGAGTCAAGTAACTGTAAATCATCACCGAATAACCGTGACTCCAGATAAAAAAATCATATGGAGTACAATTGTTTTTACCATGGAAATGCCTGTAGAACTTTGAGGAGCTAGTGAGCCGTAATATTCATGACTTAACCCCATGTATAGTCCATAGTCCAAAATCATTCAAAAAAAACCGGATGCAAAGACAAAATATTTTTGAGTGGTGACTCTATGATACGAAAAACCAACATTGATTTTCGTTTTGAGGGAAACCAACATTGAATTAAGAAAGGAAGTGTCTTATGTATATTATTACATGAAGATCGGATTAGATAACTAATGGTGATAAAGAAGAGAATGGAGTTTCATTCTTCATGATTGTTAGATAATGAACCCGTTTTGTGACAATGTTTATGTGTATCACCCATTTTTTTCCTCAAACGCGTAATTTTTGATTTCTCGCATTTGAATTATTAGATGATAAAAAGGTAAGTTGGATTTACTTCTCGCGCGATATTAACTGAAGTTATTGTAGAAAATAATTTTAAATATTTCTGATATAATTTTTTAGTACGTTAACAGAATCAATCAATTCAGTCACTTTATTCAAAATTTTATACATTTCATCAAAATCAGTCAATACAGTCAATTTGAATATTATGAAAGGAACTCATTAAAATTGGAAAATTGATGATACATGAAAGATGAGGGTTGAGCGGTAATATCAGGTGGAAAAAAAGACGCTGGACTTTGTGGTCAACCAATGGGGCCACAAGGACTGATGAGTGCCTGAGACAAACAATCCAATCATACAAAAATCAACACCACTCTCTCGTGATTCTTTGACCTCATCCCCTCATACTCAACAAATTTCTCTCGCTTTCCGGTCCCACCCCTCCCCATAAAAGGTCAAGTCTTCAGGCCACATTTTTTTTGAAAGTTCTTCAGGCCACTAATTACATACTCCGTCTCCGTATTATTTTTCCGCATATGTTTTACATAAAAAATAATTTGACTGATTTTAATCAACACTAGTAATACTTTTACATAAAAAATATTTTGACTAATTTTAATCAATAATAATACGAACTACTACCCCGTTTTCATTTAATTTCAAGATTTATATTCTAATTTGATTATATTTTACCTCGTCCTTTCCAAAAAAGTTCGTCAAATTGACTTTTCTTGGTTAATGACAATCAACTTTGACCAATGATACTCCCTCCGTCTCATTAGAAGGTTCTCATTTTCTTTTTCTGGACGTCCCATATAAAGGTTCTCATTTCCTTTTTAGGAGATAATTAACAATTTTAAATGACAAATTAATCATTAAATCTTAAAAATAATAAATTTATAACATCACAATTATCAATACTAACTGCATTATTATAATATATACCTGTTAAAATTATTTATCAAAATATACTCAAAATAATAATAATAATTATATAATTATTGTCTAAATAACCGTGTTGTTTTGCTATAGAAACCTTCCAACGGGATGGAGGTAGTATTTTTTAGTACGAAAGTTTTTTTGAATATGAAAATTATATCAAATGCTTCTTATTCAAAATATTTTCATAAAAGTATAAAATTTATAATTTATATACAAATATAAAAATTAAAATTATTATCCAAAGTTTGTCATCATTGACCAAGAAAATATGGCAAACCTTTTCGGGACGGAGGTAGTATTTATTAATGTATTATATATTAAATTTTTAAAAATATTTTTAAA